TTCGTAAGAACACGCAAAGGAAATGTAAGTTTTTTTGAAATTACATTCTCTTCAGAAGACGTTTTTCATTATCACCATGTAGCAGATTTTGTCTGTCCTTAACTAATACCGCTAACGAGGAAACATTCCCAAGTGATCCACTCCATTTATATTTATATTATGCCCATCCATAGGGATCATTGGATTAGAATAATTGCCAAAGGATTCGTCCTCTTGTTGAGATTTGGCTCAAATATCGAATTTTTAGTGGATTTTTCATATATGACGTTAGTTTTCGAGTAAACTCGTATTTTCGAGTTTTAATTGAAAACTTTGTTGATATGAAGGTCTTGCTATGACTAGCTCATATATAAAGTTTCATCATTCTTGAAAACTGCGTCGTTGACATAGGAATCTTTCAAAATATTAATGCTTTATATTGTATTGGGTTGACAACAGATTTCTTGCGTTTTTTTTTAAATTTCATTTTATTTTTTAACTATAAAAATACACCTAAGTTTCAATAATTTATGCTCCATTACTATCTATGACTTGTCGCCAACGTTTTGGAAGAGAAAGGATCCAACGTACGTAGAACTCCTGGGCCTTTTGGCTGCAGAAGTTGCCGAGGTTCATTTTGAGGTCGTGTTCGTTGTCGAATTTTTTTTCGCACAAATGATCTGAAAGAGAATGGAACAAATGGTGGTCAGTGAGAGTCAAGTCTGGAGAATATGGTGGATTTGAAACCACAGTCCATCCAAGCTCCAATACTTCTCTACGCGTTGACTTTGCAATATGAGGTTTGGCGTTGTCATGTAAAAAAAGAAATCTTATCCTGCTTTCCCTGGAGCTTTGCTGTAAATCGGTTCAATTGCTGACAGTAGAGATCAGCAGTAATAGGGCTACCAGTTGGAAAAAGCTTCCAATGAATTACGCCTCTTATGACCACCAAGCGCTCAACATAATCATCCTTGGGTGAAGTTAATTTTTTGGCGTTTCTATACCGCTTTGTCCAACTCCTAGTCATTGACGCTTGCACGTGTGGTTGACATACATCACCTACTTTTCATCGTTGATAATAAGATTGCGAAGCCATTCGTAGTTGCGATGAGAAGTCAGTAGTTCCATACATGCATCGATCCTGTGTTGGAACTGTAGTGGTGACAACTCGTAGGGTATCGAAACTCCATATTTCCACGTCTTGCCTAATTCGCTCAGATGTTTTTCCACTGCAGTATGCGAGCATCTAAGTCGCTCTGCTAAACAACATGTAGTTAATCTCGGTTCTTCTTCAATGAGCTGCTTTAAGATATCCATGTCCACCTCCAGCGACCATCCGGAACGAGATAAATCGTCGAGTTCGAAGTTTTCATTCTCAAAACGATTGAACCAATGTTGTGCTGTACGAATGGAGAGTACATTCTTGCCCATCGTGCTGCACATGTTGCTTGCTGCTTTCGTCGCTCTGTGGGGCAAAACGAAATCCATAAAGCAAAGGCACCCGGACGTCCCTACGAGAAATCTTCATTTCTAATCTGAAACCAGCTTCTTTACTCATAGTTCTGTTGTTGCTTGCAAGACGTCCATGTCCTCCTTTATATACCCTAAGTATGAAAACTTCCAGAAGTTTCGTGAATTTTTTAGAAAATTAAAAAAAAACGCAAAAACTTTGTTGTCAATCCAATACTAATCGTGTCTCTAGAAGAAACACAAGTAAGCAAACTACTTTTCATTGTATCTTTATTTAAAGATTTGCAGCTCTCGGATATACTTATTGGTATATTGCTAACAACAAATACTTGGCTATTCTTTTCTGAATAGTTGTAAAATCATCTAAAACAACAATCGGTGAGTCACAGCGCAAATTATTCTCATTATTAACTGATACCTGTCTAATCAGATATACTACTATCAACGTACTTAGAATACAAACAACATAGTTACCTATTAAATCCTTCGTCGTTGCTATCAGAAAAAAAAAGATATAATGTGGATCATCTTTCTTTTTGTACTGATTTGTTCGGCTCAACATGTTTATACCGATAAATTAGTTACTGTTCAAACAACGTATGGTAGTGTGCAAGGATACGAAACAGATTCGTATCGCGTATTCTACGGTATTCCATATGCTAAAGCGCCTATCGGTGCTTTGAGGTAACTCTGTGATTGTATATGTGTATTGTTATGATTATGCGTATAGATGGAATAAACCAGTACCAATCGACAAATGGGCTCCATCAACGTTTGATGCAACAAAAATTCCACCTGCCTGTCCGCAACCTGCATGTAATCCTGGAGATATTCTTTGTCCTAGCAGTGTAAATATTCTAATGTTGAGAAAGAATCAGTGTAAATCCAGGATATTTAGATGTCGGAAGATTGTCTTCGTTTGAATATCTTCACTCCATTAGGCAGCACTTTGTCACAACTGCTTCCTGTGATGATTTTTATTCATGGCGGGAATTTTCAATATGGTAGTGCATCAATAATGCCCTATAATGCAAGTCGTTTTGTCAATACGAATAATGTTATTTTCGTACCTATTCAATATCGATTGGGTGAGTATCTTCTTTTTATGAATGAAGTGTACACCTAACTTTCATATACAATTAGGTATACTTGGCTTTCTTGCAACAGACAGTGGTTCCGTTGGTCTCACAGGAAACTATGGTCTAATGGATCAGGAATTGGCGATTAATTGGGTCAAATCGAACATTATTTCATTTGGCGGAGATCCAAATAAAGTCGAGTCGAATCACTATCTATGATAAACATTGGCTTTCTCATTTTTTTTAGATCACATTGTTTGGTCAAAGTGCAGGTGCTCAATCGACAGCAATACACTATCTGAGGAAGGACATGCAATCATTATTTCAACTTGCTATCATTCAAAGTTGTCCTGCGGCAATTCCGTTCAGGTAAAATGATAAAATTCATCTTCGACACTGCTTCATTGTTGATCATACTACTAGAACGTACACACAATACTTGCCTCCTATTATTCTTCTTGCTCAACAGCTTAGTTGTCTACTTGGTGATATCTTATGTCTTCGTACGCGTCCATATGAAGATATTATTGCAGCTCAAAATGTAATTAATAGCAAGATTACATCATTAGATATTCTACAGTTCTTCGAACCGTGGGTCCCTGTTATAGACAATGTAATAGTACGCGGACAACTCATCGACATGTATTCAAGTGCATCTTTTCCACTTAAGCCACTGATCACGGGTACGATGGCTGAAGAAGGCTTAGCTTATGTTCACGGTGTATTGAATACACCGCTGTCATATCCTGCTTATCTCCTAGTCGGACCAATACTATTCGGTACCAAGTTTCCTGCAATTCTTCTACGCTTTCCACAATCACCATTTACTGCCGATATGCGTCCATTCTTGGTTAAACTTGTCACTCAATGGGTATTTGCATGTCCAACACGTTTCCTTGCTCGTAATACAGCTGCCTATTCGTACGTATTTGGTTATCCACTTCGCACTATGGGTCTTACAGATGCAGGAGATTGTGAGGCTCATGCATGTCATGGTTATGAATTGCCTTTCTTATTTCAAGCGTTTTGGTCTTATTTTGATAATAACGATCAATACATATCCAAAACAATGGCTACCTATTGGACAAATTTTGCCAAAAGTGGAAATCCAAATAATCCAGTAAAAGTTCCTTTGACATGGCCGAAACTAACTTCTAAATCTGACAAGTATTTGTACTTTCAAAATCCAGTCCAAATTATAACAAATTATTTGAAGGATGAGTGTGACTTTTGGGATTCGATTGGTTACTAATAGGGTGTGAGTGTGTGTGATGGTTTGAAGAAAGATTTTCAATAAAATCAATTAAAATCTAGCAAGACGCGTTTCGATTACCGCTAAAGTAATCTTATTAATTGCTATTGATTACAAGATGTTCAAATAGGGTGTGGGTGTGGGTGTGTTTATAGCTACCATGATACTCTAGGTATTTCGATGTTGCTGAAACATCTTGTCAAGCGTGAATTTTTTATATAGGAGGACACGATTTTTAATGAAGAATGATATCGGAAATGGCATTGCTTCTTTTAGAGCGAAGAGCTTTGTCTATTGGTTTTTTGTTACTTAGCATAGTATGGTGCGAGGAAAGGCTATCTAAAATGTTTGATATTAATGACGAAGATAATTTTCGGTTTTTGTTGTCGGATGCTAGAGTGAACAGAAAAAAACCATTTCTTCGTCGGAACTTAGAAGACATTGTCATTTTTTCAAGGATATCAAAACCATCTGTTGTTGCGTGTGGAAGATAACTGGCATAGAAGGTTTTGATTGTTTGACAGAGGGTTTTTCTTCCTTTAGGTTTGTTCCACTATACGGAGAATAATAATGTTCCATTTCTGTAACTGTATTCTAAGTCGGATCTAACTTATCTGTATTTATGTCTGACCGTGCAATATGTGCCTGTTGTACTGTGTATCGATGTGTTAGGATCGAGTCGTATCAATAACTTTTCGCACTACTATGCTTCGAGTTAAATACACATATTTCTTCTTCTCATACATGTTCGTAACCCTATTTCCAATGGTGGACTTCTCATATCTATGCTCAATTTTTAGTTCTATCCTTAATTTCTTGTATCTATTGGTAATCTCTAATTTCTAAGTTTGACACCTAATTTCTATTCTTAACCTATTACATCTGTATTTAACATATTCACTGTGGGGGTTAAAAATGGTCGAGTTATAACCGATCAACTTCTAGGTCGAAAAGTTATTTCGATTATAACTATCAACCTTGGTTATAACTACCAAACATAGCTATAACTATCAACTACAGGTATAACCATAAATTGTTCCAATTTCATGAACATAAATAACATTTATTTCTTTTCTTTGCCAGCTAGCGAGTGCAGTAAAGCTACATTCTTAAGTATAGTTTTGTTATTTTATTTTTGACTTTTAACATGTTTTTATTTTCCCTAGACTGTAAAGATAGGGTCTAGAAACGGGAATTCATCCGATTGCACGTATCGTTTTTGTCGGTAACATGGCATAAACGACCATTTTTTTGGTACAAACGACTATTTTTTTGGCACAAGTGACCATTTTTTGGGACGGAGAGCCAATTTTTTGATAAAAATGACCAATTAACTATGGCACAAGCGACCATTTTTTTGGTACAAACGGCCACGTAACTATGGCACAAATGATCAGACAACTATAGAAAAAAAGACGATAATGTAACTACGGCATCAATCACCAGGTAATTAAGGTAAAGGATGTGAGTGTGGATATGAACGTGAGAGAAGACATCTACACCCCGATTTTAATCGATTATTTGGATTTTCTCAGGAAAAATTAATTTTAATCGATTTTTACTGAGTGAAATCGAGTATAATCGATTGTTGGTTCGAGTTTAATCAGAATCGACTACTTTTAATCGATTTTTACCGATTTTTCTTTCGAAAATCGATTTTAATCTGATTTTTAGGCTTGTTTTTTTACGTGGGCGGAATTCATCGGACTGAGACAGGTTCGACAAAATTCGATACCGTACTGCCGATCTGCGACAGCATGGTTCAGGATGAGATGTTTACTGGTAACGAATAGAGAAAAGCTTGAATCAGCTACTTACGTAAACCAGCCGCTGAACCACCAAGAATATCTATTGATTCGGATCAATGTTATGAGTACTCATAATATTAATCAGGATCGATGAGTGTTCTTTTTGGTTAACTAATTGATCGACGTAAACAACTGATTCAATCTTTTCTCTATTCTTTATCATTAAATATCTCATCCTGAGTGACTCTTAACTGTCCTGAAAATGACAGTTGAACTACCGAAACGTCGACTGGATAACTTAGTAAAAGAAAAATAAATATCAATGAAAGAATGCTTTTTTCGGAATGAAACTCAAGACCATTCTCAATGCAATCAAATTCTTACTCAAATTATCACCCATCACGAAATAAAAAGAACATACACCTTTTCCGAGAAAAAAATTTTGGGATATATTTGTAGGAAAGCAATTGAATAGTTTTTTGTGTCAATGTAAGTTGATTGCATTCACTCATTCATTTGTAGAAAGAGTATCAACAGCATGAATTCATTTACACTATCGCTACCAGTGCTGATTTGTCTGATCGTCTTACGATTTGGATATGCGAGAAGTAATTTTACAATAAAAGAAGTGCTGTATTATGTGTAGGAGTGTCGCAAGATGGCCAGAAAGCATTGTGACACAGAGGGAAATGCCGATTCAAAAGTGCTTGATACTGAGTACCTGGAGGGACCTAGGCAGCTTTTTTCAGCGGGGAGAGAAATGGGTCCAGTTAAGGTTTATGTTTTCCCTTATGCTGAGTTTTATTGCCCATACATCCTAGAGAATCCTAAAGGAACGCCTGGTCATGAGCATCGACCAACAATGTAACAATCATGTGATAAGAAGTATAAAAGGAATGAGAATAGGGAAGAGTAAGAGACAGGAGTAGCGATATGATAATAAATTATGGAATAAATCTATCACTGAAATGCTAACACCTACTTTTGCAAAATCCATCGAAAAAGGGGGTGTCAGTATTTTGGTTATAGATTTTCAGGAACACATTTTTATGAGCTCGAACAGATTTCAAAATCTTTAAAACAAATTTATCTTCAATTTAAGATGTCACTCGCCTCTCTATGACTTGTCCTTTCGCAGTTATGGTCAAAACAAAATGAGCAAAAATGTAATGCTGTTACACTCTGTCGCTAGCGTTACGTGGACAAGCCGAAGGAAAAGTTAAAGTCGACTCCGTCTTTATGGAAAAAGTTCTCACTGCTGCTGCAGCCGAAATATAGGATTTCAGCATGACTTATCAACAAACAGCCTTCAAAAGGCAGTTGACTGCAATCTCTATACGAAATTACCTTTGACATACAGACAGACTAGGTGTATCAACTACTCAATATTGATCAAACCAGATCAACTTGATCAGAACGTTTGAAATAACATATTTCATGTTACACTAGATCATCGTAGAAGTTTTCAGTTCAATTTCTGTTGGATTATTAGGTAAAACTCTATCCGTCTAATTCTTAAGAGCCAGGTACAGAAGTACTAAAGTATCGAAATACCAGTCACGAACTTTATTCTCGTTAGAAATTTCATCGGTTCTGTTTGACACACTCTGTCGAAGAGAGGATAAGGAACACTGTTTTAGCTATATTCTTCCACACTCATTAACAAACGTGTTCCACTAGATTCTAGATAGTGATAGCTTTACAAATTTTTCTTGTGGAATGCTTGTCTCCTTTAAACTTGCCTAATAGATTTTTTTGTCTATGAGATTCTGTTTCAACTGAATTTCACAAGGAATTATATTCCTTTTTCTATTTCCATAGGTGCATCATTCCAAAAAATAATAGATCCTGATACGTCTGATATGAAGCAAAATGCTTATTCTCGCTCTATTCGTATTGAGGATCCACATGCCCTAATTTATCTTGGCGGTGTTACGACTATCTCCGACGTTAAAACCAATCGTTCTCTGGAAAACGATTTTGAAGGTCAAATGCGAGATATCTTTGTCCGAATCAATCAGACATTGGCCGAAGTACACAATGGCGACTTGGATGATATAGTAGCAATGACCGTGTTTATACTAGACGCAAACCTTAGTGGGCGCTTTGTTCAAATTCGAAAAGAAATTTTCGATAGACGCGATTTTTCTACCAGTACTTTGATTACGGTTCGAGGTTTCTTCGATCCTAGGATGCTGATAGAGATGCAGGCCACTGCTGTGATGGCACCTTCAATGAATCATCATTTGCGAGCATCTTTGTTTTGGACCGTGTCTTTCGCCTGCTTTGCTAGTTTTCCGAAATATGTGTTAGCTATAAAATGAATGTCATAAGACTTGTGCTCCAATGACTAATATTTTTGAAAGGGATAAACAAGAAAACCAGTTGGACATTTATCAGAAACTCAAATAATTGTTCTCAAGTGATAATAAAATAGAGAAACGATGCTGTTCGTAGCTAACTTGGCTTAGAACATCTGCTCAAACAACAAAGTGACCAGTTCAAGTCTCGTGCAGAAGAGTATGAGCGTGGGTATGGGGTGTCAGTCAAGAGATAAACTAAATCCACAGCCACACCCACACCCACACCTGTACCTACACTCACACCCACACCCACACTCACCCACACCCACACCCACACTCACCCACACCCACACCCACACCCACACTCACCCACACCCACACCCACACTCACCCACACCCACACCCACACCCACCCATACCTTGTATTCTGTATATTTCTTATGTTCTGGAAATTCGTTGGATTCCGTAAGAACCTTGTATTCTGTATATTTCTTATGTTCTGGAAATTCGTTGGATTCCGTAAGAACCTTGTATTCTGTATATTTCTTAGGTTCTGGAAATTCGTTGGATTCCGTAAGAACCTTGTATTCTGTATATTTCTTAGGTTCTGGAAATTCGTTAGATTCCGTAAGAACCTTGTGTTATGTGTGTTTCTTATGTTCTGGAAATTCGTTAGATTCCGTAAGAACCCTGTATTCTGTTTATTTCTTTGGTTCTGGAAATTCGTTAGATTCCGTAAGAACCTTGTATTCTGTATATTTCTTATGTTCTGGAAATTCGTTAGATTCCGTAAGAACCTTGTGTTATGTGTATTCCTTTGGTTCTGGAAATTCGTTAGATTCCGTAAGAACCTTGTGTTCTGTGTATTTCTTATGTTCTGGAAATTCGTTAGATTCCGTAAGAACC